CATTGATTACATTATTTGCGAGAAATGTATAATTTATGATTTTGGAATTGTCCACTCTGTACAAAAGTGCGAGTCATTAATTTCTGTCCAGAAGAGAGGTGGTCCCAAGACTGATGCCTAGGAACGGCACTGTGCACTCTCCTCGAGTCTCAGAAGTAATTCCTCACAGACAAATTTTACATCCGCATTTTCATAGGGCTTTTCATTCCATCGGCTTCAGTTCTACACCAAATTTGATTCAACAGATTTGTAACTGAATAATTTCTTTGTTGACTTGCTTGCCGAGCTGGCTTGTTTTTGGTGAGACGTTTAGTCACCATGCTAGGTGACATCATCACTGGAGCATGGGAATTCCTAGAAGCGTGGTTCTCCACCCGTAATGCAAACAACAACAAAAAAGAATTGGATCCTATATACAAACCCATACAGACCAAATCCAAAAATGACACGACTCACCATAACGGACCAGACAGTATAATTTCCGAGCGGAGGACAATAATGTTGCTACATCGGAGGCTCCACCGATGATATCATCAAGCATGGTGACGAAATGTCTGGACGAAAACAAGCCAGCTCGGCGAGCAAGTCAACAACCTCATCCACAACCTGAACTACAGACCTTTGCTGAAACTTTAAAGTAATTTCTTTCTTTGTGTTGAGTTGTTTATCATTTCACTAACAACAGGGAGAAGTATCTTCTGCTCTGCACAATTTACTCAACTGTTTTCAGAAGCAAATTAAACCATCTCAGCTGTTTCCTGCTGTCTGTAACAGAATCAATCTCTCAAAATTATTTTATTGTCACGTGGGCCAAGGTTGTAAATTATGAAAAATGCTCCAGTAGAGACTGCCCACTCTCACACATTCCGTGCTCTCTCCAGGAGCTGTCAAGATGATGGCCTAAAGTGCCTTCTCCCATTCTCAGTCACTCTGGGATGGTTTGAAGAGTAAAACTATTCTCTGAGCTGGGAACAACGTGGTGAAGTTTATACACATCAGGTTCAGTGTGCCTGAGGGACAGAGCTCGCTGTAGTAACACTCCGCGCTGAATCACGCAGCAGCGACCTCCCTGTGACATCGAGAAGCACACAGACACAGTTTCCCCAAATCGGGAGAGATTCTTTTTTTTCCGAGAAGCTCTGCATTTTTAACCCTGTATCAGATGCAGTAATTTGGACAAGATTCCCAAAAGAATGTTAGTTCCTGGGCATGCGCAATCTCCCTTTTGCACAGCCTTTCACACTATCCATACCTCCCACTCCCAACACTCCGCTCCCCTGCTCCGCAAGCCCGTGTTTGACAGGAGCTGGACAGCACATTCGTGCTGTTCTCCCGCAGCACTATATGCCAATGGAATATGGTTTATTCCAGTCACCAATGGAGAGTGCCCAGTCCCGGCAGAAGGGAGCTAACACAGCCTCTTGGGAGCAGGTGGTCAGAATGGGAAAAAGCTGTTATTAAAACTCGGTGCTGCTTTTACATCCCGAAGCAGCAAGAATATCTTAAAGAAAACTCACCTTATTTTGGTGTTAACGGCACTGCACTGCTGCTGGTTCATTGGTCTCGGGGTATGATTTCTGTTTCACGTGGATAGCGTAACGAGAAGCAGCTCTGGGGTTCGAATCGCCGGCGATTTTGGGCGTTTAATGTCTTGCTCCATTCTTCACTGATGGGGTCTGGTTTCGATGGGATTGCGTTTGAAATCCCTCAGTCTCTTTGCGGCGAATATATCGCATATGGATAAGCAGGAAGCAAGTTTTACAGAACATCTGCCCGTGCTCAACGGACCTTATTACGGGTGGTGCAACGTCCTACATAAACGCTACTCTTTTTATCTTCTATGTTCTAAAATGCCAGTTCCCTCAAAACCGTTTCTCGCTGTCTGCTTCATCCAAACACTCACCCCATCAAATCTCCTTTTAATCCTCTTTGCTGTAAACAGAACAACCCCGGCCTCTGGAGCCTGTCTACAAAACTGAATACCCTCATCCCTCGGCAGGATGAAGCCGGACGATTGCGGCGAGATTTTTTTGGGGGGTTGGGGTGAGAAATCAGTTGGTAGGTGGAAAGATGGAAAGGAACAAAAACAAAAACCCAGTCTTCGGCTTAGTGAATCTTTCAAAACTTTTTGTGATCCAAGTGGAAGAAATTGATGTAATCCACCAATAGAGAGAACCCAGTACCAGGGGAAGGGACAAACAGCACCAGCCTGGGAGGAAACAGAATGAGAGGAAAATGTTCGTGAAACTGTTTGCTGCTTCGAATTCCGAGAGCAACGTCGAAGGTGCTTCGTTCTGAGCAAGTCTAAGTTGGTGGAGAGTGGGGAAGAACTGCTGCCCAGAGTGGCTGGTTGGTGTAGGGGTATGGCTTTCGGTTATGGTAGCACTTAGCTTTAACAGGATAGAGGTCCTCGATTCAACTCCCACACGAGCCGCGGTTTCTTACTTCACTTTTGCCACAATGCCCTATCAGCATTTTGTCAAACCAGTTTTATTAAATGATGTTGAATTGCCTGAAGTGTGAATGGGGCAGAAGTACCATTGTAGTGAAAAAGACAAATGGAAATACTCGTTCAAAGTCAAAACAAGTGTTTCAAGTTGTTCACCCACGCAATCTGACTCTGAATGAATCCTCCAGCTGCTTTATTGCTCAGTTCTGGGGTGAAACTTCAGGAAGCAGGGATATGAGGTGATTGGAGACAGCGCTGAACAGATTGATTTGAATGATGCGTGGATGAGGAATGTCAGCAATGAAGATAGACTGGAAAGTTGGGAAAGCTCTCCTTGGAGAACAGAAAGCTGAAAGCTGGTCTGTTTGAAGCTTTGAACAGAGTGAGAGGTTCTGTAAATCACTGCCCGAAATTATATTGATACGAAAGGGAATCCGCTGGTTATTTTAAAAGTAACAATGTGCGGAGTTACACGGAGAAGGCAAGAGAATAATATTAAAAGAGACACCCATTTACTCATTTTGGAGAGCAGCCAACGCTCAGGTGGGCTGCATGGTATCTGTCTGCGTTGTGACACATTTTGTGATTCTGAGTGAAATCAGAGTTCGACCAACAGAATGTGGGAATTTAGACAAAGGTAATGTTTACCTAGGCAAGACACACCTGTGCAACAGAGTTTCACACATCAACAATAAAATCTTTTGAATTCATTCTTGAAGGTACATACCACACGCCAAATGAAAAGAAGCAGGCTTGCCTCAAAAGCAGAGTGGCGCCGCAGGATTGTGCTGGGCCCATTAAGCAGCTATCTGATAAATCAAAACCGCCCTCCGCTATTCGTTACAAATACCTGATAATTTGCTCGATGCCTTGCGTCATGATCACCTTTCAGTTTCATGCATCTGAAATACGTCTTTGAAGGTGATGCGCTAGTCAAAGTATTAGTTGTCTCCTCCTGTTCTGCACTGAATTGTAAAACCTCTTGTGTGAGATGGGATTAAACTGGTGAAAGCTGAAACATATTGCTTCCAGTTTCTTTTCCATGCCCCGCAATATTTGTCCACGCTGTTTCAGTCGCGAATGACGAGAGCAGAAATAGTTGCTGGAAAAGCTGAGCAGGTCTGGTAGCATCTGTGAAGAAAAAAAAGATTTAATATTTCAGGTTCGATGACCTTTCCTCAGTTCTAACTCGAGACGTTAACTCTGTATTTTTTTTTCTTCTCAGATGCTGCCAGGCCTGCTCAGCTTTTCCAGCAACTTAGTTTTTGTTCATGATTTTGTGATTTTGGGTGCAATCAGAGTTGGACCAACAGAATGTGGGAACTTGGCAAAGGTTATGTTTACACAGGCAGAGCCGTGATAAGCTGATGTTGTTTAGCAGATGTACAGCAACAAGGTATAAAACCAAGGCTGATGCGAACAAGAGCTTGTTTTGAGGCGCTGAACTGTGGTGAAGTGTCTCCACGAATAAAACCATCATTCAACTCGTCTGATTCCAGAGCCCTGGCTCGAGAGGACCCGAGGATTCTCACTTAATTTGTTCACAGTCTTGAGTGGAAGAGACCATGATTCAAAGAATGAATGTTCACTGGATTGGGTCATAAACTAGCGCAGTGATTGTGGATAAATCAACGTCGAGTTCCAGCAGAGAAGCAGGCGACAGCGAAGCAGGCACCTGAAAAAAAAATGTGTTTCCTTTGCCAGTGAAATTCACGGCTTCGAAAAGTGGGGTCCATTGAAGTGAAGCAGTGACGGCGATTATCTCTGCTGGTGTTTACTGCGTGAATCACAATATCCACCTTGGTCCCTGTTGCCATCGCAACTCGACAAGATGTAGGCCTCGGCATCGGGTTTTGGGCCAGTAGCGTAATGGATAGTGCGTCTGACTTAAAATCAGAAGAGTGTAGCTTTGTGTCCTACCTGGCTCGAGCACAGCTGACGCCTTTTCTGTCCTTGCAAATTGACACGTGCTTCCAAAGAGGAATGTGTGCTGGACCTTTTTGTTGTCTGATTCCCAGGAGCTAAAGTAATTGGAAATTAAAAGTTGCACACGACGAGCATGTAGGACCATTTGAGGTCATTGTCTGTTTCATATCCGAGCTAAAAACAGTAGTTCTCATTGTCTTGAGAACTTGCTTGTGTTCTACATAAAGCTGCCTTTTCTCGGGGAAAGGTGTATGGGGACGGAGAGTGAACGTGAAGCACATGTAGCCGGTGTGATCCTGAGACCTCTGTCACCCTCCGGGAGACGTCTGTATATCTCTCCCAGTGGCTAAAAATGAGGATGAGCCCCTTAAGTGGGTTGTAACACAGTTGTACTACCGCGAACCCTCAGTCCCATCGGTTGATTACAGGGATAATCTCATTGATGTTTTTCTCAAAACACAAGGCCATGGACAAATTCTGGAAACTGGGGCCAGAATAGATGGATGCCTCTTGGCACGCACTGACATGATGGGCCGAAGGTCTATTTCCACGCTATAAACATCGAAGGCAGGGAGAAACTGATCTACAGCAAAAACTGAGCAAAAATGGAAATGTAAAAGCAGTGTCATTCAACGAGAATCCCTGTGCCTTCCATTGTAGTGAAATAGTTCGAATTTGGTGCTTTCACCACCACGGCCTTGGTTCGATCCCAAGTCAGGGATTGCAAGTTCGCCTTTGCTAGTCTTTCGTGACCGCAGCACTGCTGACTGGTTTTCAGAAGCAGGAAACCTATTTTATCCCAAACGACGTTCAAGCTAACCAGCAGCAAAGAACTGCCGAAGTTGGAAATCTAAAACAAAAAAATATATTGATAGGCAACCACAGCAGGTAGCAGCATCTGTGGAGAGAAACAGAGTTAATGCTTCAGATCCACTGAGGGTTCATCAGGACCAGGTTACTTATTCACTTCTGTATTATAATGTCAGTGAAATTATCACTTTTATCTGTCGAATCAGCATTTTTATCAAAATATCTCATTAGTTTCCAACCATCAACTTTACAACTTTAAAAGCAAGCAAGTTCTCCAGACAATGAGAACTTTCAGGGTAAAAGTTAGGCACAACATCGTGGACCGAAGGGCCTGCACTGTGCTGTACTGCTCTATGTTTTATGTTCTAAAAGGACTTTATCGATTCTAATGTTGCTTCAGTTGCCCTGCGGTGGGGAAAGGTTCTGCTGAAATGGTTGCCTTTTCCTTTCCTTTTCTGTCAGTTAGCAGCCATGTCGAATCACGAAATGGTTATTTTTCGTATCTACCTCAATATATGTCTCTGTTTGCCTCACTTTGTCTCTGTGCAACCACTTCAGCCCCTTTCAAATTCTCCCACTCTCCATCTATCCATATCTCTCATTTCCGATTTCTGCTCTTTGAAAAGTTTGAAATTCGGACAGTGTATGAGAGTGGTGGCACTGAGAGCTATTCTCCTCGCCGGCTGTCGAGTCTAGAACTGGGCTAATATTACTCGGATACTGTGTCTGTCCATGGGCCTGAGGTAAGGAGCCATTTCTTCCCTCAAAATGTAATGAGTTGTTTGACTTCGAAATAGAATTCTTAATCCACCAGCAAAGAAAAAGCAACGCCACTACAAGCATACGATTACAATGATGCCTGTCGGTAGAAAGTGAATGAACGTTGACGACGGAGAATGAGGGTTATCGGTTCGTGGTGTTTGTGTCATTTCCACAACATTCCTCAGTCAGGCTGCAGTGTGTCCTGCCTCAACCTGTTGTCCCGAACAAACTCCATGAAGGAGTGCTGTGCTCGCTCGTTGGATCATTAGAAACAACTTTAAAGAAGGAACGGCGGACATAAAGTGTAGGCACCGCTGGGATTTGAGCCCAAGTTCGCATATTTATTAGGCAGGCGCGTTAACCAACCAAGCCACTGCACCAGTTACTTGCCTTTTCCCCCATCGATATACGCATTCCGTTAAGCTTGCAATCAGGAACAGGCTTTCTGTACCAATTTTGCTGAGTGACAATTTCAATGAAACACGGATAGTTCACATTTGAACATTCTCCTCTGAAAGTGCACAGAAAGAGACAATCTCCTCTTGCATTGGTTTAAAACTGATCATTTCTCCTGTTCAAACTGGACTTGTTCCTGACCGATTGCAGGCGTCCGATTCGAAAATGCAACTTTTGAACACGGATGCCTCTGATTTGGACATCACTCACTGGGATAGGATTTGCTGCCCGTCTCTAATTACCATAGAGATAGAAGTGATGAGTTACTTCCTTGAACACTTGAACTCCTTAGCACGTCGGAACAGCGATATGTTTCCAACACCGAATGTTGAGATGCTTGAGGGGGTGGGTGGTGGGGGGAGGGGGTTGCAATGGTAGTTTTCCCGTGCACCGGCTGTCATTATCCTTCAACATGGAGGCTCCATCTCACTGGTCTGCTTCCGGAAGTTTCAGGGTGTGTACTCTGTGTGTAATCAGGAATTCGTTTTCATTCAGATAATTCACAAAAAGAGAAGTCAAAACTTATATGCTGAGTGGAAATGGTATCCAGGCACCCAGAGCGATGCAAACTCTGAATTTTAAACAGGGAATAACAGTGATCCCGGCAGGAACCCTTGCGACCTGATTTGTACACACAGTTGTGCCTGTTCTTCACGCCAAATCTATCTTGAGCAGCAAAGTTTCTCTCTCCAAGTTTCCAAACCACTCATATTATTGCCGTGGGATTCAGTGTGACGGATGCAGAGCAGTGACAATCTGATGTTGTTCAGCAGATGTACTGCAAGGAACTACATAACAGGCTGACGCTAACAGGAGCTTGTTTGGCGGCGCTGAGGTCCGATGAAGGGGCGGCACCAATAATGGCATCGTTCAACTCGTCTGATTCCAGAGCCCTGGCTAAAAACGACTGACGTTTCTCGCTGAATTTGTTCAGGGTCTTGACTCGAAGAGACCATGACTCAAATCTGAACGTACACTTCACTGGAACGGGATATAAAATTGCGCAGTGACTGTGAATGTAACGTTGGCAAATTCCAGCAAAGAAACATGTGACAGTGAAGCAGACACCTGAGGACAAATGTGTTTCGTTTACTAGTGAAATTCACTGCTTCACAAAGTGGAGACCATCGAAGTGAAGCAGTGACAGCGATTATCTTAGCTGGTTATTCACCTCGTGAATGTTCTTTCCATTGATGTCCCTATTAACATCAAAATTCAACAGAATGAAAGATGCAGCAACAGGTTTTGAGTCAGCGGTATAATGGATAACACGACTGACTTTGGATTGGATGATTGCAATATTGTATCCTCCCTCGCTCGAGTGAAGTTGGCAGCTTTTCTACCCTTGCAAGTTGACAGTTGCCATGAGCGAGGTTATGAAATGGACAGTGAGATGAAATAGAACCACACTCATGTTGCTCACGTGCAACTTTCAATTTCCAAACCCCAGCGATCCAATCATTTCACTGTCACCTGTTTCTCTGCTGGAACTTGCAATCTTTTTAATCACTGTCACTGCGCAATGTTATGACCCAGTCGAGTCAAATGTACGTTCATATTTGAGTCATAGTCTCTTCGAGTCAAAACCCTGAACAAATTCAGTGAGAAACCTCTGGTCGTTTCTAGCCAGGGCCCTGGAATCAGATGAGTTGAACGATTCACCACAATGACCCTGTTCCTCTTTTGAGGGTCCTTCTGTGTGTATTAACGCGGGCCCTGAGAGGATAAACGAATTCGCTTTCTACTGTCAGTTTAAACAGGTGAAATTATCAGTTTTAAACCAATGCAAGAGGAGATTGCCTCTCTCTATGCATTTTCAGGAGAGAACGTTCTGCTGTGAACTGTCCATGTTTGCAAAAGTGGGGATTGATTGAAATTCTCACTAAGCAACTGTGACACAGAAATAAAAAGTAACCCATTGCATGCTTAATAAAGTGCACATAGTAGAAAGTGCCTTAGCTAAGTTGGTTACTGCACCTGTGTACTAAACACGTCGATATTGAGTTTAAATCCCAGCGGTGCCTTTGCTTTATGTGCACCATTCCTCGTTTACCCTGCTCTCAGATCTAAGCAGTAATGTTGATCAGTAGAGCTGACCAAGTCTTCCTGGTGTTGAATCGGAAGAACAGCGTGAGGCAGGACAAACAGTGTCCTTACTGTGTAATGTTGTGGTGATAGCGCTGATCACTCATTCTCTGCTGTCACCATTCATTCACTTCACACCGCTAGTAAAGACATCATTGTAATCGTATAATTCAGGTTGCATTGTCTGCTTTTTTTTTAGGTGGATTAGGAATTCTATTTCGAACTCTAACACCTCATTATATTTTGTGGGAAAAAATGTCTCCTTACCTCCGGCCGAAATGGTAGAAACGTTATCCAAAGAATATTAGTCCACTGCTAGAGTCTAAAGCCGGAGTGAAAAAGATTCTCAGCATCGCCACTTTCCAACTTTCATACTTTTCATAGAGCAGAAATAGGAAATGAGGGATATGGACAGAGTCGGAAAATGTGAAAGGGGGTGAGTTGGATACACAAAAACAGACAAATAGAGAAACATTTTGAGGTCGACACTGAAAGGACCAATTCTTCATTCGACATGGCTGCTAACTGACTGAAAGGGAAAGAAAAAGGCAACCATTTATGCCGACCCTTTCACCACCTCAGGGCGACGGAAGCTGCATTAGAGCCGATAACGTTCTTTTAATGTTGTAAAATCAACGGTTGGAAACTAATGAGATATTTTGATAAATACACCGATTCAACATATAAAAGTGATAATTTCCCCGGCATTATAATATAGAATTGCACAGCTAACCTAGTTCTGACGAACAGTTATTGGATCTGAAGCGGTGACTCTGTTTCTCTCCTCAGATGCTGTCAGGCCAGTTGGGTTTCTCTGTCAATTCCTGTTTTTATCTCAGATTTCCCGCATCCGCAGTTCTTAGTTTTGTGTTACCTTGAATATCGTTTGGGACAAAAACAGAAATTGCTGGAAAAGCTTATGCAGGTCTGGCAGCATCAGTGAAGAAAAAAAAAAAAGAGTTAACGTCCACAAAGCATCCCCCCGAGCCCCACCCCGCCATAACCCACCTAATCTGCACACCCTTGAACACTACAGGCAGTTTAGCACGGCCAATCCACCTAACATGCATATCTTTGGACCGCGGGAGGAAACCGCAGCACCCAGAGCAAACTTATGCAGGCACGAGGAGAATGTGCAAACTCCACACAGGCAGTCGCCCGAGGCAATTGGACTAGGGTGCCTGGCGCTGTGAGGCAGCAGCGCTAACCACTGAGCCACCGCGCCATCCAATGCTGTCGGCGACATGCTGATCCTCTTATCATTCACATCTGAAACGGTGTGCGGAATTACTGCCAGGCATGGAAAAAAAAACTGCAACTGATGTGTTTCAACTTCCCTAGTTTATTCCGATCTCAGATAAGAGGTTTTACAAGTCAATTCAGAGCAGACGACAGAGAACAGCAGAAGACCTTCACAAGCATGTCACCTCCACCGTTGTAAGCTTGGCCAGTGTATCAATATGAAATAATTATTTCAGACGCATGAAGCTATGGGAAGTGGAAAACTGATCAAAACACAAGGTACGGGACAGAGCACCACATGCCTGTAACAAATGGCAGAGAATGGTTTCGAATTTTCGATCTCTGGAGTATGGACCTAGCACGCTCCCACTGCACCACTCTGTTGATCTAGCGCGTGACTTTTTCAACAAGTATTCAGCTTTTCATCTGGTGTGTGGCATGTACCTTATAGAATGATGTCAAAAGACCTTCACTGTTGTTATGTAATATTCTGTAGCTTAGACGTGCTGCGCTTGTGTAAATATTACCTTTGTCTCAGTTCCCACATTCTGTTGGCTGAGCTGTGATTCCACTCTGAATCACAAAATTTGTCAAAACGCAGATGGAGGCCATATAGGTCGCCTTAGCTGTGGGTGCGCCGGGTCTCCGCGATAAGTACACGAGTGTCTATTTTAATACCATTCTCTTGCCTTCTCCCTGTAACTCTGCATATTGTGACTTTTCACAGAACCATCGAATTCCGTTTTGTGTGTCATGAATCTGCCTCTTTGTCGCAGTCAGACAGGGATTTACAGATCCACTTAGTCGTTGTATAAAAACGTTCTTTGTCATGTAATTCTTACTTCTTTTCCTCATGACTTTAAACCTCTGCCGAATCGGTCTCGATATTTACAGACATGTGAGCATTTTCACCCCCTGATTTCCTCTGGTCATACCCCTCACAACTTGGAAAGCTTTAATCAGACCAGTTTTCCGTTCTCCAAGGAGAACTATCTCAACTTTCCTATCTATCTTTCTTGCTGACATTCTTCACACACGTCACCGTTCACGCGAACCTGTTCAGCATTGTCTCCAATCACTTTGCGTCCCACCTTCCTGAGCTTTGGCGCATACATAATTGAGGAATAATGCAGCAGAGAATTCATTCTGATGATCGGCCTTGGATCACACCGTCGACTATTCTCCTCCTCCTCTGCTGCCTGACCCGCTGTGTTCCTCCAGCTCCACACTGTAGCGATTCTGTCTCCAACATCTGCAGTTCTTGCGATCTCCGGAATCATTCAGTTTGCGGAGCAAACATCCGGAAACACTCTTTTTCGCTTTGAACAAGTGTTTCTCTGAGCTGTGTTCACGATACTGTTAGATCAGCTTCATTTTGCGGAAAGCTGGTGGGGTAGTTTAGTGAAAGTGAAGATAAGAAATTTGGTCTCATCGGGGATTTGGACCCGGGACTTTTTGCATGTCAGCAGCATATAAGACCCGAAGCAAGAATTACACCGCAAGACAAACAAACCATCTGGCAAGATTGCACCCCTTTCAGAGTGAAGTACATTCCACTTTGTTCGGGGAATTCGAAGCAGCAAAGAATTTCAAGAATGTTTTCTTCTCAATCTGTCTCCCTGCTCCCGAGACGGCCCTGTTTGCCCCTTTTCCTGGCACCGGGTTCGCTCTATTGCTTGGATTATTGTACCATTTGTTTCCACTTGGATCACAGAAGGTTTTGAAAGATTCGTGAAGCTGGAGATCGAGTTTCTGTTTTGTTTTCTTTCCATGTTTCCACCTACCAACTGAATTTTGTTCCCAAAATCTCGTCGTAATCTTCAGGCTTCATCATGCCCGGGGCTGAGGGAATTCAGATTTGTGGAGATATTCAAAAGGCCGGGATTGTTCTGTTTAGAGCAAAGAAGGTGAAATGGAGATTTCATGGCGCAAGAGAGTGAGAAACTGTTTCCACAGGTGAGGATCAGTAAACAGGTAAATGGGATTTTAGAACATTAAAGATAAAGAGAGTTGCACTTCCAGAGGACTTTTCACCACCAGTGATGATGTCTGTTGACTACAGGGAGGGGTTGTTTAAAACTTGCTTCCTTCTTCCCCGTGCACGATATATTCACTGCAAACTCTCTCAGGGATCTCAGACTGAACTCGATCTCATTGAAATCAGATCTTAACATTTTGATGTGTTTTGATCTGCTTCCCGTAAGTCCGTGCATCTGAAATAAATATCTCATATTGATACATGGGCCAAGTTTACACAAGTGAGGTGACACGCGTCTGAAGGTCTGAATGGCCTTCTCCTGTTCTGTGTCGGTCTGCGATGGTCTTATTTGTTAAAACTGTTCTCTGAGATCGCAGAAGTAAAGTGTTGAATTTGAAAACAACATCAGTTGTATTGTTTTACATGCGAAGGATACCCTGCAGTAATTCCCCACGCTGTATCAGGAAGGAGCATCCTTCAGGTGAAATTAAAATTTGTGAATGACAAGACGATCGGAGACAGCATCACGACACAGGTACGGTTCACCATTATTAGGACGGATATTACTGATTATGAATAACCACGGAGAGGTACAAGTGACAGAGAATCGCCGTGGACTTGATGGGCTGAACGGCTTCTTCCTGACGGGAATGACGCCATGGGTTTATGATGTTAC